TAGTTTTCTTTCTATTCTAAGTAAAAGTTCTACTCAATCTTCTCTTTTACTTATTTAGATGCATTCAATTGATTGATTTTTTGAGAGCAATGACCAGAACAAATATGTTCCAATGGGTTCGTGTTTTTTGGTTGTCACGCTACTATTGCTTTTTTTTTTTTTTTTGTTATTGAAATTTATCAGTGTGTGGTGTTATCTAATTTGATTAGCATTGTTCTTTAAAGGAAATATGTTTTATTAAATTAATGGAAAAAAATTCTTTTTATAAGATGTTAAATTTCATTTTTAAATTTTTTGAATAATTTTCTTTGAATGATAATAGGTACAAATTATAGAGAAAAAAGGAAAAAAATTTTAATTGGGTCAACCCGCAACCCACGATGGGCAAGTTAAAGTCCACATTCATTGACTTGTGACTTGTTTTAACCTAACCCGTTTTGACTTGACCAACCCAACCCGCCAGTTTGCCAGGTCTAACTTGATCCCTGGACATTGTTGTTTTAGATTTTCATTGCTTTTGATAATTCTACAACTTCGTTAGATCATTAACTGCTAGAAACAACAATGAATCATATGGGCAGCAATATGGCAAATACTTGAGTTATATGGTCAATTAAATCCATCCCAGTTATAGGTTGTACAGAATCCAATTTTAACAGTATGTACAAATTAGATGGAAAACAACCATTCTCCTCAAATTAAAATAAAATAAAGGTGTGCCATTTTGATATCTATATAAAAAAAGACCAACAGCAATAAATTCAAATGAACAAAACACAAATGACTAAAAAATTATAGATGATTGGTCGATTTTACTAATAATTACATTGGATATAAACATATACTTGAAAAGAAGATGACACAAGAATATAAAAATTTTCATGTATCTAAGTACTTACTATAATTTAAGCTAGTGTCTAACATTTTCATCTTTGTAATTGTTGATGATATGTTGTTCTAGATAGTTCAATCAAAGATAACACATCTGGAACAATGTAACATAACACCATCATTTTCCACCACTGAGCTTTAAGTTCAATTGCGTTGAACAGTAGTGATAGATCTTTGGGAAATGACGTACGAAATTGAATCCACCAAAGCACATAACAGGTAAACATAACCAACCATTCGCTATAGTACACTCGGGATTCGAAACCAGCCAACACCATAATACCATATTTGGCGACAGATTGAATAGCACCAATCTTATCTTTAATTCCTCTGGTATTTGTAGAGGGCGGAAGCATATCTTTGGGAAAAGAGCATTGTAACCAAAAACAAAAAATGACATAACTGATTACTGCAAATAACCAATCTTTATAATTGGCCATGGGAGATGTGAAAAGAGTAAACCAGAACATGCCATGTGCAATATTTACAACCATCAAAATCAAACCATTGATTCCTTTGGTAGTTGTAGAGGGCATTGAGCTATCTTTGGAATTATGATAGGACTTGTAGAGACTTCGAACCACAATACCGATTGCTGTAACTAACCACCTTTTATAGTCGAATAGGGGAGATTTGACAGCAGAAGACACGAAGATATTATATGCAAAACATAAAGCAGTTGATGAAAAAATAAAAAACACAGTAGCACTTTTAGTTGTGGTATTTGTACC